CGGTGGAGGAAATAGGGCGGCACAAGCAACCAATCAAACTCAAGAACGTCAGACCACAACGCAATACAACCCGAGGCCGGAGAGAACGAACTACTAAAAATAGAAGGCGTGAGGATAACCAATCGACACAAAGGAACGCAGACCACAACGCAACAAAGATCACAAATGGACCAATAGATTCACCAAATTTGTTACACTTTAAGTAGCCGATCACGTCAGAAGATGAAAGATAGCCCTCGAATGCTATATAAGCGCACGCAGGCAAGGAAGAAGTACCCACTCAACTGCGCACTGATGATGTCTCCTCGTATGGTGACGAAACGTTTGCAAGCCAATTGCCAAGCCCGGCGAACAGATCAACAGCCACCTGATCAACAACCAATAAACTCACCCGAGCTACCAATATTTCAACAAATTACCAGATATCCATAATCATTTAGTCGAGCGAAATGGCTTGAAACAAACAGTCCTGAAAGCTGAGCGCATAGCTTCTTTCACTCGCTTCCACTCAACCTCCAAACAATCTTCTTCATTCACATCACTGTACGTTTGCAGTAGCTTTCTAGCCAGATCAGCTAGATACTTTTGTGCTACTGCAACTTTTCGAAGCCGATTAACGGAACTGCTCTGGTTTGGAAAGCGTAATGCTATCGGAAAGCGAAGTGCTAACCGGACCCGAGCCAAGTTGCGTACCACAGAAGGAACGACAATCCTTAACTGAGGCCCTCCATCGGTAACTGATGGTCACAGGGTCCAATTGAGTCCATGACTGTCTTGCGGTTGGTGGTCTGTAAGTAACGCGATGTGAGCGTTTATCGGAAGCTTGTACTGTTCAGAAACGGACGGTGATCACCCCATCCCATTATCCCTACTTTGATCGTCAACTCCAAACCTAGTTGTACTTCTTTTGAACTTAGTCGTCCAACTTGGGTACTCATATTACCCGCCAGGATTACTATATCCGTCCTTCTTACTGACCGAAGCAGTCGCAACAGATACTCATAAAACTCATTCTTCTTAGCCTCAGACCTGTAGTTTGTCGGGGTACATGCCGATACGACAATTAAACTTGGTCTACCACATCGACATGCATTGATGCTAATTGAGCCAAGCAACCGCACAGTGCAAAGTCGACTGTCTACTGGAATCCCGTCCAGTAAGAAGGTATCAGCCTTGAGGCTGAGTGCAACTTCTGAGCCGCAGATACCACGGGTCATCGCGTCGAGATCGCCGAACACGCAGAGAGTGCATGTGGTACATCTGACTTCGTTCTTACCGGCTCGAGGTGCACAACTAAATTGGGGTCTTGCATGCTTGTTTCGGAGGCACAACCTACATCGACATAGAGGGAAAAGTAAGGCTTCAGCAAGATGTACCTGCTGCCAACTTTGATATGGAGTACGGGCACTAAAAGCTGCAACCTTGATCAGATCCCTCTAGTTTGGTGAGTGATTACCTTGGATTATTCTCTGGACGACTGTTTAGACACGGAACAATAGTTAGGGGAGTGGCTGATGAGTTGATCGCGCTTCGTGGTTCCATGGGTGAGGAGGGGATGTGGGGGAAGCGGGTGAACGAAGAGCTATCTGCCTCACTATAGAAATTCAAGCTGCCACGGAGATAATCTTCTGTATTAGATCCTGGTTTCCTTTTTTCGCCTTAGCACACGCTTTTTACCTGTTCAGTTTTCCTGTTATTTTGGTTTTAGCTGACAAAGAGCTGAATCTGAGTTTGGACACAGCATCGATTCTGGAATTCGGCACAATGGACCTGCGTTGCTGATACGGTGATTCTCGTTCTTCTTCAGCAAGATCGTCGCGGTGGAAATTATTCGCTATGCATTCTGAATATGTGCGGCTTGGTACCGTGTATTTACTCCCACGGTCAAAACCAGTACCATCTGAGCTGGTGTCGGAGTGGGTTGTAAACCACTACGATTGTCCCTTTGTATATGATTCGGATAAGCGAATATTCTTCCCTAATTGTTATGAGGCCAGTGAGTATGCGGATTACTCGAACATGTGTCGCCAATCCCCCATTCAAATGGTATTTGCCTCACCTTTCGCTAATGATGAAGACGCATATTACAAATGCGATTCGGACACACGTATCAGGTATATTCAACAACGTCAAAATTTCACTTTTGTGATTGACGCCAGCCTATCTTTACGAAGTTCAAACGATAAGGGAAAGACATTCCTCAGTGATGCCATTGATACGATGCGCGTGCTAATGCACAACTTAGCTCCTCGTAAATCTTTGGTGTTGCCTGGATCGGGACACCTGTTATCAAACACAGAGGCCATTGTTACCATCATTTCCGTGCTTCCCGGCTCCCATTGTTGCACTCTGGTTTCAGGTTGGCGTGTTTGTTTTGATGATGTGGATTCCAAACTTTCTCGTATGGTTAGAGCTATTCTGAAAGTTGCCGAAGACCTAACTAAAAAACAGGTCCGTGAACCACACTGCGCTTATAATACTTGTAACTCACTAGTTGATTTGCTTAAACACGGCATCCTTGCTTCGTCACTATTTGCTGATGATTACGGGACCTCGTCCGTTGTTCTTTTCACTGACGGTGCCTTCTCAGTGAACAATTTTGAAGTCCTTGACAGATCTTTGACCCATTTGAGATCGGAACGGGTTCGCTGCTGTTTTGTCCTACTAAATGCGCCTCAGTTCTTCTCCTCAGTAGACCCAGAGGAAGGCGCAGCGTTTGACTTCGTAATGCGCCTGGGATCCTGTGTTCCTCAGGTAGACTTGTGCACCTTTTTGGCTCAGTCTACGGATGGTTTTGTTTTGAATGCCTCGACAGAAGTGCTGCCGTTCTCTGGCGATGTGATGAGTACAAAGTGGAATAATTTATCAGAGGTGCTTTGGACCATTCCCGTGACTCGGACACGATCAGATGACAAGTTGCCGGGTGATCTTCGCTGGGAACCTGTAGGAATGTTACAACTGCAGAAGAAAGTCATACATGTACCTGTATCCGCTGTACTTGCAGCCAGACTGCGCGATGGGTACAGGCTGTGTAAGGTTTGTTCGGTCTCCAACCGGAATGATAACTGTAGCGAAGTGACGGAACCCCCTGCCAAACGCGAACCTACATGCTCTCTGGAACTCATTCAAATTGAGCTTGAAATGCCTTGGAAAGTTGGGATTAGCTTTCATGTGATTGTATGTGGTCTTTGGCACGAGTTCAATGACAAGGGCGAACACGACAATTTACAGAAGTTATCCCCCCTCCAACTTCACAATCAATATGCGGAACCGGCCGAAAAAGATGTTATCTGTTCGGGACTAGCTGCACAGACGGAAGAAAGTCAAACTTCACTTGATTGGATACGTAATCGCTCCCAGTGCCATGTGACGTTTTTCCTGCGTGCCAACTATTCCCTTCTTCAGCAAGCAACGGTGCGACCAAGAAAATCAGGACAACAACCTACCCGTGCTACTCTTTTTAGCCGATTCATCACCTACCACCGCCAGCTGTCAGTTACTGATAAGCAACTGGAGCACGTTTTAAGATTTTTCTCCAGCTGTCACCTTGCTGTCGTACCGGAGGATTTCCGCTCGGCTAGGTCTGCTGCTTTCAGCTTACTGGTTGATGCCAGTGGTAAGCACATGGTGGTCGAGAATGATCAACATCATGAAGGTGATAGTAAATCTGCACAGAGTCCTACTGTTTCGGAATTTTTGCACTACTGGCGCATGTTCATTGAACTCGATCTACTCGAATGTTACCGCTGGATGAATGTGCACAGTATCTATGGCATACTGGAATACGATTCACAGCTTCCGACTAATCTTCATCTCCCTTCCGATAGCAACCGATACACAGTCTCTATCACATGTCGCCAGTCGTTGGACCTCTTATACGAATCACTTACCGATTGGTGCAGTTTTGTCTTGCTCGAGAATAACACGTACGTCAAATTTTTGTGTTTTGATCCTCTTACTCACTTTGTCAGTTGCGAACCACCACCCATAAAGACAGATTCTTCAACCCCAGATACTCAAGATCTTTCAAGTGGAGCTGCCCAAATCACAAACTCTCTGGAGGAGCGACATTGTTTTTGCATTGTTCGGGTTGAGGTCAGACCACCGGAGTTTCGAGTTAGACTTGGATTTATAATTGGCACTCCTGTTCGACTACAATCCGAAGTGATTCAACAGCTTACTCAGCAGATCAAAGCTATTCACTTCCCACAACGAGGTCGGCAAGCAATACCGAAGTCGAGACACAAGTCAGGTGCTTTACTGATTCCAACCGAAGCTACGCACGTACCTCCGCTCCAACGATCTTGGGAAGAAACATCTTGTTGCCACTTATTCCACACTCGTTTAGATCGATTAGTCTTGAATAGAGGTTTACTGACGAATACCTCAATTGTGGGACCAAACGTCGGACTGAAGCGGAAAGGGTTCTTAGGCAAGAGGAATGTTACCCGCAAGACTAACGTCTCCACGCGAAAGACTTTGACGCAACGAAGACTGATGACTAACCCGTTGGTAAACGCTTTTGCTCGTCCCAATTTAGAGTTTAACCTTCTCAAGCATCACCTTCATCACGAAAGCCAAGTGTGGGTCATTCAGCCAGTCGCTTTGGCAGTCGAAGGCTTGCGAACATTATTTTCTAGTTTAATAAATTTACGTTTGCAGGAGGGGTTTCACCTTGCACGTGTTGGGCCACAGCCCGGATTTGTATGTCTGCTTGCAGAAGTTGAGATGCAGTCTGGGAATTCTCTCGGTTTACAGTCATGCTTGGTCCAATACCTACTGTATCCCTTCGTGGATGTCCGTTCAAATGAAGCTGTCGAATCGTCGGGCTCGTTTCAAACTTCTAGTGTCAGTCCAATCAGAGACACCATAGCACATATCATTCAAAGGGAAGTAGAACTTTGCAAGCGTCCTATACACATGGAAGGCAATGTAACCTCAATATTCGACGTGGTGTTTTATGAGTCATTTGGTCTCACATCTCCGTTTAAACTTATTCAAGTCGTGGCAGAAGTTTGGATTCAGCCAATTGAAGGCCATATCGTTGATCCGCCGCAAGAAGTCGTGCACTGGACTGGTGCTCGATTCGACCAAGTGGCGCCACGGATCTTTGAAGTCGACGAACGGTGTCTCACAAACTACGTAACTCTGGAACGTTTGTTTACCTTGGTAAAATCACCAATGAAAAGCCCAATCCAACTACCAGTATTCTGTCTATCGTCTTCAGTTTCGGTTCCAGATCTACTTGGTTGTTTGAAGTCTGATGTCCAAATTTGCTGGGCTCAGTCGGACATAATTAGACTTACCTCCACCTCACCTCAAGTTACATTGCTTCATTCCCTGATAAGCGAGTCTGATCCTCTTGTACGTAAACATCAGTCTGAAGAAACCTCGTGCTATACTGATTTGGATCAGCAGGATGATGACCAGCTCTTCACCTCCTTATGTTGTGCCATACTGCGAGATAGATCGTTTATCGAAATTAATCTATCAGCAAAGGAATGCGAAGGTTACACTATTCACCTCATGCACCGCATGGGGTTGTCTCCTAATCTAGAGCCTAACGCCTATCCCAAGTGGCGTTGTTTTGTTGCGCTTGGTTCACTTACGTGTCATCACTCCGACCTGCGGTTTACCTCAGAAGATCCCAACTCTAAAGCTGTGATCACCGTACTGTTCGTACCGGCATCTACTGGTGACTGTCGACATCCACTATTAGAATTAGTTGTCAAGTTTCAGTTAGAGCTTTTGAATTCCCGTCGAAGTGCAGGCAGTTGTTTTCCTGTTTTCGTATATGCATGTAGCCGACCATATCTTTCCTTCCTCATAGATGATCGCTGGACGTACAAGGTTCCACCCGACTCTGTTTTTGAGGTTTTAGACTATCACAATGACACTGCTGTTGAACTAATAATTTCAACGGACGACGGTTCTGTATTGTGCCCGACAATTCCTGCAAATCCTCCTGATGCCTTCCTTGGTGCCGGTTGCCAGAACCCGCGTTTGACTTCTGAATTGAGTATTTTGTGGCGTGCACTACATTGTGCTACTGACCATGTTTCGAAATCCCACCTGGACGCGTTTGTGTCAACCGTTTATCGTTGTTTAGTCTTGCAACTTCCTGTGGCACCCGTGGATATTCAGTCTGTTTTGAGTTTTTTACAGCGGACTGCACGTGTCAAGCCGATCTCTTTGAACGTAACCTCGTTCCTCTATTGCTGTTGCACTCATTTTTTCGAATTGATACTAGAAAAACACACTACCAGACAAGAAGTAATTTCGGACTTTTCAACTCTGTTGAGTGGAGATCAGTACGGTCTTCTTGAACCAAACACACATGGGTTGTACCTTTCTGTCCACAAGTCAAGAACTGAACAGCCCTGTACCCATAGTAAGTGCGATCCCATTGTCCAGTTATTTGAACGATTTACTCATCAACTACCGGGACATCCTGGTGTATTCATAATGAAGAATAGATGTCGAGATATTGGACCAAACCGTATATCCACTCCTGCCCCTTCTGGTCCTTGTTTTGGAAACTCGACAAAGCCTAGACCTACCTGGAGTGTCGTTTCCGACTTCCCAACTACCGGCGAAATACCTTTGAATTCTGAAGAAAGCGACACGAGTGAAAGTCTTTCCAGTATGAGTGAAGCACAAGAGAAGGTAACAGGATGTGTAACTAAGCGAATTTCCACACGATTCGCATCGGATTTTCTACTTGAAAACGTTTTGAAATGGTTCTCCTGTGAACTACAGGATGACGAAGATATGACGCTTTTCGTCCAGCTTCGAGCAGTATTGACTTACGGAAGAGGTTCGGTCGAGCTTTACTTGCACGACGGCTTGCCACTGTTTTGCATGAACCGGTTTGTCGCTTCCTTAGAAAAGCTTGTACTAAGTGAACATGGAACCCGAGCACCTTCAACTTCGGTTGAGTCAGCTGATTGGTTTGAATTCAATGCTTCCTTACTTCAGCTGCGACTGGAAGTCACGCCGATAATTTGGTTACCACAAATACCCGATAATTTGTCGGCACATGACATGGTATTCGATGACACTTCAACGAGCCAAACGCTGTGTCCTACCGAGCCTGCAGCATGTGAGCGGGTCGACAAATCACTGTCCACTTCATATTTTCATTGTACAACGCTGTCAGCTGACCAAGTATCAGAGGTGCTTGCGCACTGGACAAAGCGATCTGAATTAGCCTTGTTCAATCCTTCACAGGTAGCAACACTTTGTCGGTTCATTTTTCGTGTGTCTTGGGAAATGAAGGACGCAATTGTTTGTGCCCTCCGCTCCCTGATTCCGGTCTCCGAATCAGCAGTTCATGTGGTTCTTCGCCACATTGAAGATACACAAAAACTGATCATCACTCCTTTATTTGACTACTACAGAAATGGACGAAATGACTCCCATTCAGTTACTACTGATCTTGCTCATTTTACGGAGGGCAAATCAGTATCAACAGTCCACAATGTAGTTCACGGTGATGATTCGTCACCTCCAACGCGTCTTCCGAAAATTACAATGCATCCTGCGGAGACAATCATCTTTAATCGCGTCCGTTTAGACTTCGTAACTTACAGCTCCGAAGTTTTTGACCTCTTTCTCCGTCGATTTGAGGCTCAGTCTTTTCTCAGCACCAAGGCTTGTTTGGAATATTTGAATGGAGCCTATTTCCTCAGATTAGTTAACACAAGTTCAGAAACTTCGGCTGTAACCACAGTTGTTGATCAGACACTATCTGAAGGCAGATACGGCCATAATGCCCATTCTACAGTTTCAGAATTTTCAGATAGCTCCGAGTTTCCTTCTGCCTCAGGGGAAAACGCGGCGACTTTTCCCGCTCATCAAGTGACTCTCCTAAAGCGTACAACAGCGTCGCTTGTTGCGGAAACTACCAACTTTCAGTCGCCGCATAAAGGTCAACGGTATTTTTCAGGAAATATACCGGAAAAGAATGATAGTTCACAAGCTGCTTCTCGGTTGTGCTTAAAATCGTGTGGACGCAATTCGTCCTCTTCGACACTTTCAACTAGTCATGGCTATGAAGGAGGCTCTAGCGATGTAGAGTCCATACCTACTGAAGAGCGCTTTGAACAATCTCTCTGTCATCCCCTTAAAAGTGAATTTGGTGGTAGTGCTGTGCCTAATTCCTTGTCGGTCCACACCATCGTCTCGTCCCAGACCAACGAGCACCTTGTTCCCTATAGATTGCCTCCCTATTGGATGCTTTTTCGTGTGTCCACTAACTCGGTTTCCGTATTTTTTCATCATACGGACTCTCATTACAAACACGACTACTGTGGTTCAGTTCATCGTCATGGCTCTCATCAACAAGCTCAAGCATCAACGGGCAGTACGCTTTGCTGCACAGAGAACCGGCTCTTGTCGCCGACATCTTGTCAATACTGCATCACCTTTCATTTGATTGTCAGAAGCATTCGTGGCGTCCTTCGGTGGGTAAATCAGAAAATGCTTCTGGAGAAACTCAGAACAGAACGCATTTGTGATGTACTTTTAGTCCCTGATGCTACCTCTTCGGAACCCCCGCAAACCAATGGTTCGCTTGTTTTACGGCCACACAAAGGAACGAACAGACTATTATCCACCAAGTGTAGGAATGGCAACTTGTTATACTCCGGATCAAGACACGTTCCAGGAGCTGTTCACTCTGCAGCCTCTACTATAGTGGACCATCAACGCGTTAAAACTTCATTCGAAGAAGTTGCACCAAGGACCACGGTCGCGGGTGATGCTTTACGTTCGTCTATCCAAGTGCACCATGTGAAGACAAACCGGTGGACATCAATTTCGAGTGCCTTATATGGTTCTCCATCTTTTTGGTATCCCGGATATTTTGCCTGTCCTGTTCAAATAACTGACCGTATTCGCTTACACCCTCGTGTGTTTTCTGCCACCAGCATTCCACAACCTGGTCTGCCAACTGAAAAGGGGAAACGGATTGTGGCCGCCTTGAGGAAAAGGTTGGAAAAACCAGCGATCTACAATCAACCTGATATGTTTTTCCTGATTGATTTTGGCTCACGGTCATCGCCTGTGGGCTCAAGAGCTCAAGGCTTTTTTAAATCAACTCCGGACTCTGTTGACTTGGATGGCGATCCAGTTTTTTACATGCAACTAACGGTTGAGCAGCTAGAATCCCAGAGTACCGTACCCCCTCGTCTGGAAAAGTCGGCGATCTTGAAAAATCAATCCTGCGAATTAGCGTCATCATTCTTGTCTTTACATGAGCCAGAAAGTACCCACTCGTCTTCAGGGCCAAAACGGCATAGAATTTTGTCCGAAAAGGCGGAACTCGATCATTTTCTGCAATATACCTTACGTGGAATTGATAAACCAAGTCGCCATCTGTGCAGGTCTGTTCGCGAGATGTTACAAACTCGTTTAGATGCACTTGTTCTGGAACATTTTTCAGATAGCTTGTCTCGAAACGCTGTCAATCGGTTGTCGTCAGCCGACCTCAGCTTCTTGGTCAGTCGCCGACCACAAACACCTAAGTGTCACTGTTACGTTGCCCTACCAAAGTTTTTCCTTTCTGCCTCCGAGTTACCATACTTGTCTTACGCTCCACCAAAACTGATTCTGGCATTTTGTCATTACTTGAAACAGAATTTATCACTGTTTTTGCATGCAATCAAACTGGATCAAGATACCTCGTTTGGCGCTTCCGAAATTCTGGAGCTGTTCCTCTACAACCGCCCCCGAGCGCATGGAGTTGCAAAACCTGGCGTAGCTACATTGGTTTTTCAACTTCTTGTGGGATCTGATGGCTGTGATGGTTCTGCACAAACTCAACATCTGACACCGCACACCATCACGGATTGGACTTTACCAAGTGAATCAACGCCATTAACCTCTTCAGCCGAGGGCACCCCATGCCTGCCATCATTTGATGAGTTACACTCCCACATAAGGGACTATTTCGAGATCGCTGAGTGCGATCTGTCAAATATTTTGCTGTCAAACCAACTTGTCCTGTCTATACAAATTTGGGAAAGGGGTGATGCAGACATCGAAAATTTGAAATACCGTGTCAAATCGGCTGTATTGCATGCCTTGTACGACCTAATGACAGAATTTTTCGTTCTTACGACCCCCATCAAATTTCCACATCATCTCTCCGGGCCATTTACCTCAAGAACTCCACTTACCAATGAAGTCACCGCAGACACTGAAAGCCCACGTAGGGCTGGAACGGGTTTATTGCAGTGGCTGAATCCTTGCATTCCTTCCTTGCTTCTGCCATGGTTAAATCACGGACAAGAGTTGGAGTCGCCGCTTGTGATCAAGGTATCCTTAAAGTTGTTGTCTGTTTCGTTGCTTCATCAGCTACTGTACGATTTTTTGCGGCCCTTCAACAACCTGAACACCTCAGAAGATTTCAGTTCCTCCGGCAGATTGATAACTACCCCCATTCAACACGGACCAACGGGACTGAACTCAGGAAACATGAAGATAGCATCTCTTTGTTTGGGTGGTGTGACGTTCCTTATTTATAGGCAAGATCACCAGGATAAGATGGTCTTTGAGCTAACTGGATGGGATAAACTACAAACTGCTTGTCAAACGGCTTGTCCAGGATATACGACAAACTACTTGATCGTCGGTCGCAATTTTCCCGCCTGGCGACAGTTAATTCGACGAGGAAACAGAAAACCAAGTGGAATCACGCCAACGGAACCAACCAGTACATCCGTTATGGACACGGTTGGTACCGATTCAAAGATACTATCGCCCAAACCTCAAACTACCCTTACTGAGCGGTTGAGAACAGACCCTTGTGAGTTTCCTAGCTAACCTTATCACTCGAATTAAAGCAGGAGGTGGATGTTTTCTGGTGAATATGCAGAAAAATTCTTATTGTTGTGATGTAGCGGATTGTATTATTCCTTTCTGTCTAAAACTCACGAACCGTTCATAGCAAGCTATCGCATCTTCACTCCTGACGAAAGTTGCTGCTTTCTGATTATTTGGTGGTTATACTCCACCTGAATGACCATCAGCCTTAGTAATGAGTGTTTGCTTCACTTTCCAAGGGATGACTATGTAGTACAAGTTTTCCACGAAGATTTAAGCCGACTTTACCCACGGCCAAGCAATTGCAGACCAGTTCAAGCAACCATTTTGCTTGTGTACTCGTACTCGCCACCCGAATGTATTTTCGTTGCCTGTGAGGTTGGTATTTTTGATCGTTTCGTAATTATTCAGCCACCATGTACAGAGTATAGACGAACTGAGTAACTGGTCATACTTCAGTCACATTTGTTGGCTATGCAACCCTATTTTTACTATACGGTATCGGCAATGAAATATTCTGATTGGACGAGATTGCCACCGTTTAATAACCACCATAAAGACGCCGTCGTTCAGCTGTAGCACCCTTTCGGTGCCTAACTGCCATGCCACCCGAAGGTTGCACGAGGTCTGGGATACTGTCAGGTCGCCTAAGCCTAGACAGGGGAAAGTCGAGTGGCAGAGGTCGGGTTCGAACCACGGAACTTCCGGTCAGTAAATTCGGGCTCTAACCACTTGGGCCATCTCGCCGTCACTCTCAATTTAACCAACGTTGATATATTTTGTGCTACCAGGATGTAACGCGATGTCTCATTTAACCCACTTCTTACTCATATCCATACGAGAGCAGGGAGGACCGAGAACTACAAGTCCAAGATGGGTTAATACCGCTTCATGCTTCACTGATTACCCTCACGGGTAATCCATCGCAGTCGCCAATAGACTGAAGCAGGCAACACAAAGTTGTATAGTCAGTTTGATTGAAGTTCACTAACAGTCCACTGATAGTTACGCTTCGTAATTCGTATCTGACTTTAGTACAGTTTGGAGCTCATGATTCAGCGCAAATATTACTTCAAGGTTCACTGGGGCCGATGTTCAAGATGTTTTGGTTTGGGGTTATCAGAATTCTGCTGTACTTACTCGTCAATTTGGTCTGTGGCCCTCAGAAACAGCCAGATGGTGTAGTCGTCTGTTTATATCCCTAGACAACTGGGGTCAGTCGGTAATGATATCCACCCTCAAAAAAGTACTCTGACTTCATTGATTCCTCGACACATAACGACAGCACGTGAAGCATTGACCCACGAGTACTAAGCAAGATTTCGAAGAGTTTGGGTGTTGTTGGTGCGGTCCACCTTTCAAGACGGACCCTTGCTACGCTTGACTGGAGAAGTTGTATGAAATGGCATCTAACCGATGTTGTGGGTGTTCGCTCTGTCAGTTACTTCCCATATTCGTTTTTGCACGTTTGGGGGCTGTAGGCACCTTTTAATGCTTGCGGTGGTCAGTTTAACTTCTTTTCACCCTCGGGCTTTAAATAATTATTAAGTAACCTTTGTTGTTGGTTGGACAGCAGCGAACCAGTGATGTTGCTGATTCTGTTGATATTGATGATACCTATTCTTCACCACATTTTGTTTTGAATAATCTTGCCATACAGCTCAAGAATTGGATGTGCTGTTGCGAATGCAGCCGTTGCGTGTGACATTTAATATCCCCGTACCGACAAATAACTCAGAGGAACAGCCGTATACCAATGAATGTCAAACTGGTGCATCATCAGCCTCTCACCTTATCAAAGGAACCGTGGCTTCCACGCAACATTCCTCTGAGGTGTTAAACTTGGTAACTCCAGGTTAGTTATTTTTCATTTATCACAGTTCAGACGTTTAAACGTATTTCCATCGATCCTTAGTCTATGTGGACCACTCGTAATAGTAGACACTGTGTAGCCTGAAAGGGATCAGGTAGAATGCGTCCGCTTGGCGCATGCGCCTCATACCCAGGTTCACATCGAACTGAAAAATGGTCACTCTGATGTTTATCAGGCGAAAAAGTTCAAACACAGGCCGATGCTTATCAGAGAACCTGATGGTTTGATTCCTTCTCTCCGAAGTTAAGCAATCTGACACTATCTCAGTCCCTATAACTCCTCTGGGTTACGTAGCCTTTGTGTACTGAGTGGGCACCGCGACTGAATGCTTCATTTTCTAGGTCCTCAAGAATTAAGAATGCAAGGCAGTGTCATACTGGTTATCATCTACTCAGGTTATTCTGCTAAACTGAATAGTCTCTCACTGCCGCTTTTACAGTGCTGTCGTCACTATTTATGCTGAAAGGAAACCCTTGACGTGAAGCGTTCCCACAGGCATAGGCGTGGTCCTGGAATGCCCATGTAATCCTCACCAGTTCTAACCATGGCGTTGCAGTTGCAAGATATTGAGACGATACAGAACTTTGTACTCGGGCGTTCACAATCGGAGACACTTAATGATTTCTGCTCCGTGATTACTGGGCGGATCACTAAAAATTGAGTCGATTTTGCATTTTGCCATCAAGGGGTCTCCTGGCCTGAATTTCTGAGTTTTTTGCAGACTTTTCCGTTGCATGTGACCTTGTAACCACAATCCTGTCTCCCTGTCGCACATGGGGACAAAACTGTTGTTGCGAGACATTGATGCTTCCGCCCATGCTTGTACAAAGTGCTCATTGTTGCTCACTCTTATTCCCCATTGTCCATGAAAGGCACAGTTGAACGTGAATTGGTAATTTAAAGAAGCGGGACATTAGGAACGACCATCTTATTCAGGGTGCAGCTTAATTTCATTCCGGCTACGGTCGTTACTCACGCCTACTCCTTCACTGGAATGGGATCGGGCGACGAAAGACAAGAATAAACATTCATGTATGCTTAAAAATTTACGGGGATTATCACTGCCCTACTTCACCTCATTGACTTTTTGTGGGTGGTATGGGGAAAGTGCGGTGCCTACGAAGTGTTTATCGGTATTGTTGGCTTTGGTTCTAAGAGCAGGTTTTGCTCGTGACCAGGCCATGACCATATAGCAAACAATGCAACGTAACTGTTACTGATCTAGCCTGGGGTATATGAGAGTTTCTCCCGTGGCATTACTGCTTAGTCGATATTTTCCGGTATGTTTTGTTGCATAATAAGGAAACATGCATCGTGTGTCACCTTCACACCCACTGCCCACAATCAGGGACAGTGTATTCGGACGTATACACACATATATGCAAATACCTAAGGAATGCTTATGACTTTAAAAAATTACCAACCATTAGTTTCCTTATGAAAGTGATGTGACAGTGGCTTTATACCGTCATCTGAAAATTCACTGTGTTAACAGGAAAAGACACTTGCCGACGAGAAGTGATGCCTTCTTTGGACTATCCTCATGGTTGGTACCACATCCTTAGTCTAGTCTTACTATCTAGAGGTACTCTATGTAGTTGGTCGTGGGCATCTCATCGGATTCGTATGACGTCGATATTTGTGTTATGCCCTGGCTGTCCTGACATAACACTTTCTGACTCTGAGCATGGCCTTACATCATTTGGATGAAACCCAGCAGCGTCGGATTTGGAGCTCGGAACTGGAATCACTAGCCATAATCAGAACCAATGATGAGCACCTCTAATCTGCCATAATGTCAAGCGTAATTGGGGTCGCTTAGTTTGTTTAGTTTTGAGCATAGATCTTATGCGTCTAAAAGGACGAGTGGGGAAACGTTGGAGAGGGAGCAACCTCATGACAGAATACTGTCGGCATACCGTAAAAGCTGAATGCGACAAAATTTCTTGTTCACAGTTTATCCAGATATGTACATAGACGACCCTACGTGCGAAATTATTGCCGTCTATGCGCCGCGCGTGTAATTTAGTCACTCAAGTAGGAGTTGCAACTAGAAGTGGCGAGTTGTCTGTAAATGGTTCAAGTGAGCATTCCGTGGGTCACGTTGTTGACATGATGTC